ATTTGTCAAAAGCAGTTATTTTTGGCATCAAAATAAAGCATACGATTTCAACTTTTCACTTACTTAACCATCTTGGCCAAACAGTGCATGTATCCAAGCATATTTTGTGTTTTTCTGTAGTCTCGAATAAATCTCGTAAAATCTCGCGTACGCTTTTGGGCCAAGCGTGCATGCATGACCTCGGGACAAGAAACTGAGGTCAAACAGGGCTGTGTACGTGACACGGCCACTGACTGGAATGGCAAATATAAAAGACTAAAGCACCAAATGCATCTTTATGATCGGTAGATGGCAAGTTTGGGGTGAGGGAAGAATATTTTATCGGTCTACTGAGTTTGTATGAGGAAAAACTTGCAGAGAAGGGTAAAGCATGAATAGCTTTTTTAAAACGAAACTACACTGGAATTGAATTGGCGTAATGCATGACTAGTTTCAATGAAAACCGGTCCCACTCTTATTAGGCTGGGGACGTGTGTAACCGCAGGATGAACCCTGATATTGTTACTGTTGAGTAAACAACAAGCATAAACAACTTTGCCACCATTGTCATGGCCGAGGTTATTGCTTCTGGGTCAAAGCATGGGCGGAACTCCACTGGTGCCACAACATTGCGCAAGTTCATAATATCATAGACATGTCATGATTTTAGATAGTTAGCGAGAAATATCGATTCTGCACTGTCTGAAGATTTAGAAAAAAAACTCCTCTAGATATTTTACAGTGTTTGTGCTCTACGTTCGAAGCGCCGCGCTTAGCCCTGGCAACGCTAAAAACGAACAAAAGGAAGGAGATATTTGTAGAGCAAGCATAATGTATAGCGTAGCGGCGCAATTTCATCGTCGTAGAACACTGCTGCATGGCTCGGACACATTTTTGCCCGGGAGTAGGGGGGTGCTGAAGCATATTCCAGCACCCCAATCCAAAAAGTATGGGGTGCTGCAGCACCCACAGCACCCCCGTTCCCGGCGCGGGCTTGCGACGTTGACAGTTTTATAGTGCTCCTACTGAACAAAAATGTATGGTTCAAGTTACCAATAATTAACCATTTTTTGAAATCACGGTTAAACATGGTGTACAGATTGTCCTCAAAACGAACGTTGAAGTAATCAGAAACTATATGCGCTGAATTAATACCTTGAAGTAGGTTACAGAAGAAATGCTGGGATATCTTTTATAAAGTTCAACCTGATCACCAGGCCGGCTGTTGGGTGCGAGTCGGCTTAATTACTAGCATAAGCCTAACTGTCGTTTATAATTACTGCCGAAATATTGACATTTGGCTGAGTTCGGTCAAAACTTTATTCGGTCACGTCGGTTGACAGTATCACACGCTACATTACTATGAACACATGAGCCACACTGCACCAGTGGTGGTTCTACGGGTGGCTAGGGGGGGGGGGGGGCTTTAGCCCATCAACATTTTGTCTAGCCCCCCCCCAAAAAAAAAAATCCATTCAAAACAAAAATTGTTCTAGCAAAATGTAAGAATGTGACGTTCGTGAGAATGGTGCATTTTGTACACTTTTAGTAGCTAATATAAATATAGTGTGCATGATTGTAGGATTTTATCAGCGCTCCCCATTGAAAATATGGCACGATACAGCCCCCCCCCCCCCACCTGTTGATTTTCGGAGGCGTAAGTGTCCGGGCAAAATAACCGGTCTACATTTCAGCACGCCTCTTTGAACAAAATTGTGGATCCACCCTGCTATAGCCCCCAAAAATGGGGGTAGTTCCACGGCTGCTGCTTTTGTGTAGTCCCGCTACCACACAAAGGCTGTGCAGTCATGCGGGCCACTTGGTCTATGTGTGGAGGAATGTCCCCATTATAACCCGTGCTTAGTTCACTGGGCACTAACAAAAGATGCGATATTACTAGCACAAAACGGGCAGGAAATCGAATGCGTAGGTTGGAAAAAGTATACTTGCCCCACCTCAGTTTATTTCCGCCTTGAATCAGACGGCCGTTTTGCCTCAATCTCGGAATCCGATTACTGTCATCTTCGTCAGTTTTGGTCACGGAGAAGCAGCAAAGCTCAATGTGAGTCAGTTTTAATTCCTTCTCAAGGTTTCTTTAAACTTGAACGAGTATTGTAATCGTAATAGTGTTCCGTTGACGAGCAATACTTTTTGGTGCATATGATCAACACTGACTTGTGATTAGTCATATACATTGATGTAAATTTCACATTATCTTTCCTTGGTGGCCTGATTTTGGGTTTGAAAAACGACACAATTCGCTGATTGTACAAAGCAAAATTTGTCTTGTGACTCAATTAGATTTAGCTGTAGACAAATGCAGTGGTGTGTCCATTGGTGCGCAGGGATCGAGGATTATTACGTACTTTCCATCCTTGGCGAGGCATTGAACAAATTGAATCTATGGAGGTACGGGATGACAACATCGTACACGTAAAATGTCTCATGGTAAATGTGTGCATTGACAAGTGCCATCATCACTTGTTATGTTACGTAATCATAAAGGTTCATTTTTCAATGGTTTATAATCTACAGAACTAGAACTAAAAGGCCGATTGGGTTGAAATGTTGCGTGCAAAGTGCAGTCATGACAACGTCATCGTATGTTTCTTGTGTTTTTTATTTTTGATTGTCTTTTTCATCGCATCAGCATAACGCACGAACAAAACATGCTAAATTCAAAATTGTTTTTGTAATAGGATTTTGTTTTGTTCATGGAAACATGCATTTAGTTGAAAAACGTGTGATGTTATCGTAAAGTCATTAAACATCGTTAAAATAGGATGTAAAAATAGAATCACAACATAGTGGAAAATGGAAATACGATGTTTATACATCCCTTTAAAAATTATCTAAGGATGCCGACATCCAACCTCGACCGGGATCGTCATCTCGTGATAAATTATCTCAGAATCTTAGTTAAGTTGTCGTCATTCAGTGAGAGTTATCTCACAATGTCGACATCGTGTTCGTGTAAGATGGTGTAATCCCGTGATAAATTGTGCCAGGATCTCAACATCTTGCATGGCGCTTCCAAAGCTCCATACTGTGCGGACATACTAACCCTTATGCCAATCATGCTGTTTGTAATGCCTCGCTATGTCTGCAGTGACATAGTCATGGTGTTTTGTACATCCGAGGGTTGTATACGCCGGGAGTGCCAATTTCAACCAAGGCTGAGCAAAACAAATGGACTTTATCACACAGACAACTATTGTTGAGTGGTCGGGCACAACCCGACCACTCTTTGGAATTGTTCTCATAAATCTTCTTTGTTTGGGTCTTTTCTTTTTTTCCGGACAGTAATTCTCCGCGGGTTTTCTCCTAGACGGTTTATGATATGAACTTGTAACTTTCAATATATATCGACCCTCATCCCAAGTGGTGCATGTTACTTTTACGTCACGTTGACGTCATCGGGTGTCAATTTTACGTCAATTATAACTCATGAACAAAATACCCGATCACGTTCATACTTTGTGATCTGATGGACAATACCTTGATAAAAATTTTTGAATTTGAAGTCAAAGTCGTTTGACTTTTCCTTCTGGGGCTACCGGAAGGTCAAAGTTAGGTGAATTCAAAAAGAAGACGTTAGCTTGGAATCAAAACAAAGTAAAATTTCTTCCGAACGGTTCATGGAATGATCATAAAACATAGTGTGAACTTGAACCATTTTATGAAGATGTTATAAATTTTGTTACATCATCATGACGTCATCAGGTATCAAATTGCAAGCGATTTAAGGGCAAATTTTGACAAAATAGTTTGCGCTATATCATTTGAACTAAATAGAGTTTCGTGTTCATTTTTTCGTGAGGTTGCACACTATGCCTTGAGAAACATTTCTTGTCCCCCGGACAGAAAACCGCATGACCTACACTTCCGGTGTTACCGGAAGTGCAATAAAAACCGAATACAACTCAAATGCAGAAGCATTTTACTACACACATGCAAATCAGGAAAGTGTTAAATGAGGAATGACAGACACACAAAACAGTGTGACGACGTCATCTTTCGAAATCTGTAATCTTTGTTACGTCATCTAGACGTCATCAGGTATCAAATTACAAGCGATTTAAGGACAAATTTTGACAAAATAGTTTGCGCTTTATCTTTTGAACTAAATAGAGTATCGTGTTCGTTTTTCCATGAGGTTGTACACTATGCCGTGAGAACCATTTTTTGTCGCCAGACACAAAACCGCTTGACCTTCACTTCCGGTGCTACCGGAAGTGCAATAAAATCCGAATATAACTCAAAAGCAGATTGCATTTTACTGCACCGTTTAAGATACATTTTTGTAAAGAAAAATAGTTGATTGTACTGGAAGGGATTTAATTTCGTGATCCTTTGTTCTATATATGCGTATATTCCTAACTTTTCTGGGCAGTGTATAATGAAAAGGCTGTCCGCCCGACCACTCTGCGTTTGTAACTCAACAAACGCGAATCTCTAGTTTTTGTTTGTTATACGATGGTATTTTAACAAGCTCAAAACGTAACAATATGGTTATTAAAATGTCATTATTTAAGACTGAGTTTTTCTGTATGGATCCTCTTATGCATGTTAATTGAATAGTTCAAAACGTGAACAAGGCATCAGAATTTCAGAACTAAGAATTTGCAAGCCAAAAATCGTGGTGCAGAGTATTGGAGAACTAGGCAAAGCAAGAAAAGGCTGGTCTTAGAGCGCACACACGAGGACGCCATGGAATGGGCTAAACCCAGCCCATAGACCAGATGCATGCAAAGACTTTCAGTGATCTGAATAAATTGAATAGATGTTTGTGCGCTCTTGGACAAACATTACGAGGCTTGCCCTAAATATTCCATCGAAGACGTGGTCCTTAAGTCATATTACAGGTAATCACAACCGACAAAACTTTTGAAATCAACAAAAACATCGATTGAGTGTAAGCTACCCAAATCCGAAAAATTCTGTCCGGAAACTCACGCATGTCATCGACACAGATGAGCTTAATGTGCTTTCAATTTGTTTTTACTGGTTTCTAGATGACGATGGCCATTTTTGTTGTCCTTTTATGCATCGGAGTTTCCATCAGAATCTCCCAATCGTCTACCTGTCATGCGCAGTGTGATTACGACCACGTGACTGCAAGGGTTGACTGCTCCTCCCGTAATCTGAGCTGTATCCCCGTCAACTACCCTGACTCCCTCGTCATGGATCTCAGCCACAATGACATATCGGTGCTGGAACCAGACGACTTCAGCGGGACGTTCACGAGGTTGGTTGAGCTGTACCTTGACTACAACAACATATCTGATGTGACGTCACTGCTGGACGCAACCGGGTTGGGAAGCCTGCAGAGACTCTCGTTGCAACACAACGTCATTTCAGCATTGCAGTTTTCATGTAGCCTCAACTCCCTGATCAACATCTCGCTTGACTATAACTTCTTAAGTGGGTCTTTTTCATTTCCACGGTGCACAGCTTTGGAATACCTTTCGGCAAATTTTAACCTTGTTAATGGATTTAGTTATTATAATTTAATCTCTGCAATAAGCTTGCAGTTCAACGAAATATCTTCCTTCAGGGTAACAAGCACTGATGTCAGTACACTCCTATTAGATAACAATAAAATTCATCGCTTTTCATTTACTGGTAACACGCTTAACTTAGTCTCCCTCAGTCATAATAAGCTGACTACTTTAACCTTGACAGTTTTATCCTTGTATGAGCTCAATATAGCAAACAACGAATTCAAAGACATTCAATCAGTTGATGTACGTCAAAGCGGTGGAAACAATTTGAAGAAACTGGATATAAGCAGTAACTCATTTGATTCCCTGATACAACCAGATTGGGCAGAAGGTCTTCAGATCTTACACGCTGATGACAACATACTGGCCAACCTGTCCTCTACAACCCTACAAGGATTTAGCAGCCTGACGGAGCTCCATCTAGCAAATAATCGACTCGTGTTCATCTCAACAACCGCTCTGAGTCAACTCACTAAGCTACGGTCTCTGTATCTCGATGGCAACGCTCTCACGTCATTTTTGGGTGGAGTATTTCTCAACCAAACTGACCTAGTGGAGATTTCCATCACAAACAACCAACTCTCCGAGTTACATCCGGATTCTTTCCTCGGTCTGGACTCGCTCGAACGTCTGTATCTCGCTGGGAATCGACTGGTTTACGCCCACTCGGAGCTGTTCCGGCAGATGCCTGACCTTACCACGATGGACGTCTCCAACAATGAACTTGAAGTCTTCGACATCAGAAATTGTAGCCGCCTAAGAAACTTAACGAACCTCATGTTGGCTAACAATTCAATCTCTAACATCAGCTTGATACTTGGTCATTGTGAGAACTTGGTTGTCCTGGACTTGAGTTTTAATCAGATCCAAGTTGTTCCTTGTGAATCCCTTAAGGAGGGAAACAGAGCGCTATCCAGACTTGAGCTTGAAGGCAACCCGCTTCATTGTGACTGCCAAAGTAAGTTTCTATGGCATTGGCTCCGCATCAATCCCCCGTCTGTTCGCCCTCGATGTCAAACTTTCTCATTTGGAGAATACATATGATACACAAGACGAGGCGAGCCTAGTGAAACTGGTCGAAGATGGTTTAGGTATAGATGGTCTCGTTAGACTTAACTTTTTGGGCCAACCAATTAGGTGAGCAACATATTACAATAACAAGTTCCCCGTACATACGCACAAAGCACATAAGGTTCCACATTTTCTATAGCTTAGCCCCTTAAACCCACGTTAAATTCACGTCTGTCCAAGATGCAGACCAGGAAACAAACAAACTTAGGAACCAATGATAAATACTCATCACATTTAAAAAAAAATTGCAGGGAAAATAAACACAACTTCTCCAAAGTGTTCGAGACTGATATCAAAGTTAAACTTGGTTAAATCTCTTTCACTCTCTGTTTCAATTTTGTGAAGTTGACTAATAACTTTGGTCGTCGTAGGCCCATGTCAGCAAACCACGTGGGACGAGGCTGACCCTGGCAGTCGACTTCGTGCACTGGGTATTTAGCGCTGCACTAGGTCCTGTTGAAAGAGTAGACAACTTTCGATGCGCTTGCTCCTTTAAGCCTCAGTGATAAAACCGCGCTCAAACTGCGATAAGTATGAATTTGGACATTGAACAGTTGAAACGTGAACCATACTGAATGTTTTTTTTAACACTCTCGTACATACGAAAAGCTTCTAAGAGAACAACGATTAGATTTGGACCAGCAAAGCAACAAAGACGTTTCCAATTCATATTGGTAGTTCTATAAAATGCCCGAATTGGTAGTTCAATGAAATGATGCTTAAAGGCCTGAAATCCCCGTAAATTACATGTTTTGGATGTCTACTTATCCTATTATAAAGGTCTGTTTGAAAGGAAACTAAAGTAATGAATTACCATTCCCGAATGGTTACATCAGACATTTTCTGGCGTTCGCATACGTATTTCAAGCCGTGTCTATTCAATGTACCGTACACGTTGTGTATGTGTCACGTACGTTTCTGCCGCACTTTCCACTGCACGTGTGCGATTCCTATATAGGTTATTTGTATACGTAATGAGGGCTGCCGATTTTACACCGTGATGCGACTCAAAAAGATATCTTTGTATATTTGTATCGTTTATTGACCTCTTAACTTGGGAGCCATTGTCACTATATAGTTCATTAACTAATTGTCGAAGAAATGTTTCAAAACCTTTTCTGAGAACGTAGAAACAGTGATTTCATGAAACAACTGTCGTGTCTCAGATGTTGTTTGTTTACATTTGGACCATTTGGTTTTCGACAAAAGGTTTCTCCAACATTCATACTTGTACATAACGGTAGAGGGGATCATCAAGTAATCAGATGTGTGTACACATTTCGCTAGATTTGTTTTTTAAGGCTTATATTTAGCTGAAAGGATGAGACCAAATTCATAACAAATGTATTTTCACGTAAGATGTATAACCATTCAAAAGACTACCTTGTATTTGTGTGGTAATGGTAGGTTTTCCTGGCCAATTTCCTACAATGTTCATTCACTTTTAAAAATCGCTCATTCATTTTCGTCTGAATTTGAGAATCGCTCTGAACACGCGTTTCATTTTTGCCTACCAGAGCATTCGATATCATTTCAGTTCAATCAATTTAGTGATTGAGCAGCACCTTTGGTTTATGTCCATTCAGATTCGTTTACAAAACTTCTTTTTTCACTTCTGGAGGGCGATTTCAAGCATTCACCATTCTATTTCACTTTGAGTTTAATGCCATCGGCACCAGATACAGGGTTTCTTTTTTATTAGCCGTCAATCAAATTAGCTGTACCTGAAATCAATTTAGAAAAGGTAAATGAATGCACAGGTAACGCAATTAATTGGCCGTCTATTTCTGAAAACCGAATGCAGGGACAATGAAAACGATTGAACTTTCGTTGAATTTAAATGGGATGATTTTTAAAAGTGAATAAACATTTCCTGAAATTGGCCGGGAAAACCTTTACAATTTTAATAAACAGTGTTCATGGAGTAAAATTTTATAAAAGCACCATTCTCGTGTAATATATTCAGGAATTCATTGACTTGTATTATTTACTGGAGCATGTTTTGATGCAATATAGTTTGATGATAGGCCTAAAGGCCCGCATGAAGCATTGAAAGGATAGAGTTTTAGTAACAGTAATGCAATTTTAAATCGTTTAAAACTGCAAAGCGGAACCCAGTTACGCAACAAAAAATATTATGTTTATTGATAAAATGGTACTTCGCGGATATTATTAAATGGGTTAAATAGTTTCTTTAAAAATTGTCAAATGTAAATAGTTCACTAGAGTGTGAAAATGGTAATGATACAAAAGCGTGTAAATTTATTGGTAAAACTGTAAAATGAGTAGTAGTGTGTTACAAAAGGTGTAAATCAGTAATTTTTTAATCGATTTAAAACATGTACGCGAGTAGTACTTAATCACCAAAAGTGTAAATCATTTCGTAATAACAAAAGGGTGTAAATTGTTTGGTTAAAAAGCCGCAAAACGTAGTAGTTTGTTACAAAAGATGTATATCGCTTCTTAATAATTGTAAAATATATTTTTCAAAAAGTGGTACATGGTATCAGCCTAATTGATTAAAAGCCATATTGCTCATCAATATAAATGATTTACAGAAATCTGCTCACGTTTTAGTCATTCAAAATACAGTTGAACGCCGCTATACCGAACACCGCTATACAGAACATTCGGCTATAATACCAAACATCATCCTTGGCTCCCGGTTTTAATATACAAAACGTACTAAAAGTTGTTGTTTAAAAAAAAACAACCGATTAACAAAAACTCTACCAGTTGTATTAAACATTATTTGGGCCACTTTTAATTCCCAAACATCCAACTACGAATGATTACATCGTGTTTGAATGTTGAAGAGCGATAGCTGACTATTATTTCCCCAAGGAATAAAAGGGAAGACCATGTTGTTAAGTTTTGTGACGACTCCTCGAGCGGCCACGGGTTTTAGCCTAACCACCCAGTGGCGTAGCCAGGAATTTTTCAGTGGGCCGGGGGGGGGGGGGGGGGGAGGGGGCTGGAACATTTCATGGGGGGGGGGCGTCATGTAGATCAATGATAATTTGTTTTAGAAACACACAATCTCAGTGTGTGGGGGGGGGGGGGGTTGACAGGGGGGGGGGGGCGACAAGGTTTCATGGGGGGGGGCTGTCGCCTCCCACGCCCCCGTGGCTACCCCACTTTAACCACCCAAGTGGTCTTGAGGCTGTTTGGGGTGAGGTATAGCTCAAAGAATTGTAAAACAACTGCATTCAAGGTTTATTGCTGGTTCTAGTGACAGGATTATTGATTATGCCTGCCCTGCCAAGCTAGAAGGCCGTCTACCCCCCCCCCCCCCTGGAAGTAATTCATATAGGTTTTCCCGGCCAATTTCCTAAAATGTTCTAAAAAAGAGGCATTCATTTTTTTCTGAATCTGAGAATTTCTCTGAACACGCGTTTCATTTTTCGCTAACAGAGCATTCGATTCCATTTCAGTTCAATCAATTAAGTGAAAGAGCAGCACCTTTCGTTTATGTCCATTCAGATTCGTTTACAAGACTTCTCTTTCGCTTTTATAGAGGGCGATTTCAAACATTCACCAATCGATTTCACTTTTAATTTAATGCCATCGGCACCAGATGCAATTAGGGGTTTCTTTTTCATTAACCATCAATCAAATTTATTTAATAGTTGTACCTGCAATCAATTTTAAAAAGGTATGCTTGCGTAAAAGACTGCGCAGGTAACGTAATTAGCCGTTTGTTTCTCAAAACTGAATGCACGGAAAATGAAAACGATTGAACTTTCATTGAATTGAAATGGGTTTCAAGACGTGCATTCAAATTCAGACGAAATTTAATGACCGATTTTCAGAAGTGAATGAACATTTCAGGAAATTGGTTCAACCGATTTTAAAGGGGCTTGCACATGTTATTTACTTGTGTTTGTATGAAGAACTTGTGAAATATGAAATACATTTTGACCAATACATTTCGGAGAATCTCACAAATTACGCAAAACGAACTGCAAGAAAATTGTACAGATTCTGCAGCGAGGGTTCAAAATTTATAGACCATGTTATCGAATGAGGGCGCTGTAACAATATGCTATTTGCGAGTTAAATTTGAATATAATCTGGAACGCTGACTTACTCCAATGCTTTGCACTTGTTAACTTTGCATTATCCCGACCAAAGATACTGTTATTATATCACGTGATTCGGGGCAAGCCTTATGCTAGCAACCCCCAGCTCCGGCATGGTTTGGTGTCTTTGTGCCATTCTCAGCCATTGTGAACGATGTATTGGTGCTGAACGTACGTAGCTATGCAAGAGCTTGCCCTGAATCATGTGATTAGCAACAGTGTCTTTGGTCTGGAGAATTCACAGTTAAAATGTTCCAAGCATTCTGAGCAAGTCAGTGTACCAGACGTTTTTCAAATTTAATTCCCAAAGGGCATAGGTCATTCGCAAATTGCTTATTGGAGCCATTTATCCTTCGAACCAGTCTCCATCTTATTTTGTGTATACTGTACATATCACAATTGTTGACCAATTGTGTGCATATCTCATTTTTACATAGGAGACAAAATCCTCCGGAGCCATGAATGATAAGAAAAGGCTGACTTTGATTTAAGCGATCATCTGGAGTTGATAAAACACAATTTAGGGAAGGAAACAAAATTGGAGGACAATGAATACATAAATTACCCTCCAGGATTCAAACCAACAACCTCCAGGCATTCAAACCAACGACCTATATAACGCAGCACGCTATAACGAAACCACTCTTACAGCCATGGAATATAAACTATTCAAGAGAGAGGGCAGTATATTAAAATATGATATGCACACAATATATTGGTCAATTGTTTATGTACACAAAATAAGGGTACGCAAGATCTGCAAGATTTATGAAGCAAATTAAAATTGAAAGAAGTTGTTAATGCTTGCACCTGCTCAACAATTAACTACGGAGCTCTGGAAGTGCCATCTACGGAACTCTGGAAGTGCCATCCGACCTGTTCAGATACTAACTTAATTTATCTCAGGATGACGACATAATATAGGCAAAATGACGACACCCTGAGATGATTTATTGGGGGATGGCAACATCCTGAAGGCAGGATGACGACATCTCGACATAAGTCATTATGACATGACGACATCCTGATAATAGGATTACAACATCTCAAAACAATCTATTATGGCATGACGACATCCTGAAATAATAATCAGGGCATGAAGACATCTTGAAAATAGGAAGACTTCATCCTGAGATAATTTGTTATGGCATGACGACATCCTG